GGATACAAAAGACAAAGAAAAGTAGTCCCTAGAATATTCACCTGTTAGTGCAGAAGGCGCCACAGAAAAAGAAACTTGTGAAGCCATGTGGTAAGAGAGGGACCCAGGGAAATATGGGAGAGGGGTGTGATCAGGAAGTGCTTCTTGGGAGAGGTAGAGAGAAAATGAATTAGATCAAGGCTTGGGTTTTGGGATCTGAGTGAGCCAACATAAAAACATCAACCTAAAAAAGACCCTACTCGCGCTGACTTAAAAAATAGTTAATTTATATTCTCATATAACTGAAAATCCAAAAGAAGGGCGGTATGCCAATTTCAGCACAAGGCATAGAGAATTGTGATTAGCTGGGCCTCTGGGCCTTTTGTGTATCTCTGAGGTCAGAGTAGGACCAGTCCCTGAATTCCTAGAAACTCACCCTGTTACAGGACTGGAGTTCCATTTCTCTGCCATTCTTTCAGCTCTGCTTTCCCCTTTGGGTCAGCTTCTTTCTTAGGTTGGCTCCCTTGGAAATAAAAAGTCTGCAGCATCCCAGGCCTAACATTCAAACACCACAAGATCCCACTCTCCCCAATATTCCAAGCAAAGCTTTTGAAATTCACTCTGTTGGATGAGTCTAGGCCATGTGTCTGCTCCTGATCCAGTTGCCAGAGGCATGGAATACACTCACCATCTTAGCCTAGTTCTCAGGTCATCACTGGAGCTAGGGGTGGAATAGAGAAATGAATGCAGCCAACATCTGTCAGGCCTGGAAAAGATGTCTAGGTAAGCTTTCCGAACCCTTCTGTATGGCAGTTCACTCATCACTCGTCATTCATCAACACAGTGGCAATGATTATAACTGAAAGAAGCTCCCAAGTCTTCCATGAAGTGTTATGACCAAATAGGGGTAGAAGAGAGGCCCATCTTTGAAAGGTTTTTGAAGAGGCAAAACCTACTTTAAAGGGAAAAAGTCACATCAGCTTCCTTCCTGCCTTGACTCTGAAATACCATAAAACATAAAGCCTCCCTCAACTTGACCCTAGGAGAAGGGGATGGTTGAAGAAGGGGATGGGAGTAGATCAGTCTGGATAGCTTATGTTCTGTGACTGTAACAAGCAGCCTGCAAAACTCATTGGCTTATACAAGTCCACTGGGAGACTCAGAGATCCAGACAGGAGGTCCCACCATCCTGTGCCAGAATTCATGCAACAGATAACCAAAATCAGAACTATCAGGGAAGAGACAACTGCGAAGTCAAACACTGAGGTGAATTTCCTTCCCCTGTGAGTGAAACCCAGCCCCTTGGCTCACATTGCATTGACAAAATAAGTTACAAGGCCACGCACGCCTCATAGCAAAGGGACAGGTAAGTGCCTACACATAGAACAGAACTGGTGAATGCTGGTAACGCTGCTACTCTGGGCTCCTCGAGCTGTGCCAGGCTCCGTGCCTGCCTTCTTTCCTTGAACAAGTCTCCTGCCATTCCGATTCTGGCTGCCACACGCAGGAGCTTGTTTCTGGAGGGGGAGGAGGCTGGCAATGGAAAGATTAGCCGCTCCCTAGGTTCCACAGGGGGATCAGTACTTTCAATAGTACTTTGTGAGTTCAGCCTCAAAGTAAATGGTTAATTCATCTTGTATCAACAGCACTGTGATTCATAATGTAAACGCGGAGAATCCTTGATGTTTCGGGCCCACATTCCTTTTAATTTGGCTCTGCATTCTTTTAAAGCCACAGTGTGCTCCCTTAATAGAATGCAGCCTGCAGATGCACAAGTTTCTGCCTGGAGGCAGTTTAGCCTAGCTGTTTCAATGGATGTCTTCTTTCAAGTGTATATTCTTTCTTAAGTTATTTACTGGGTAAACACACTTTGCATTCTCAAAAGGGAGATTAAGACTTCTTGCTGCAGACCTGCAGGACAGAAAGCCCCTTGCCCAAAGTTAGAAGGAACTTACTCTGGGCTTCCCCCAAAGTTCCAGCTCCGGCTTACTAGCTGGGAACCCCTCTTCCCAGCTTGTTTTTCTGATTCTCTCCACACTGCATTCCTTTCTGCTTTGCCGATCTCGCAGTACCTGCTGGCAGCCTCGGCTGAGCCTGCTCTCCTGGCTTCCTCACGGAAGGACCCGCGGATGCTTTCCCCTCCTGGCCGGCTCCGTCTTATCCACCCCAGGGCACCCACAGCTTTCTGGTCCTTACAGGACCTATACTTGAGGTCCAAAGCTGGGTTGCTGGACTGACCAGCTTTGAACCTACTTCCAACACTGTTCCAGCTCCTGATTTCTCCCCTCTGTGCCTTTCCTGGTAACATCTGCCAGCCTTGGTTTGAAAGCAAAATGATCCCTCTTACCACTGATTGATACTTTCAGAGGCATGATGGTGTGCAGTTCCCTCTTTGGGGGTAACCTTCAACTTTTTTTTTTTAAGATTTTATTTCTTTATGTTTACAGAAGTGGGGAACAGGCCAGAAGAGCAGGGGCAGTGAGAGGACTCACCAGAGACAGAGTGGGGAGCAGAACAGGCAGACTGACAAAGTACACTGCTGAGAGGAGCAGAGGGTGGGTCAGGAGAGGTCTGCCGCGCCCTGTGGGTCACCTCCGGGGCTGGGATCAAACTGGAACTCACTACTTGGCTCACCTTCACAGTGCAGCGCTCCAACCCGCAGGGACACCAGGGAGGGCCCGACCTTCAACTTTTAATGTCAGTCTTGTCTACGCAGACTGCCAAGAGTCTCCTGCAAGTTAAACCTGCACTGATTTCTGCTCCACCTTTCCTGGAAAGAAATAATTACAGCGACGGCTGGGCCACTGTTCTGGATGGGCTCTTTCAGCCTGTGCACCAGTTATTGTGTTGTGTGGGGGGCCACAATGGCCAGGACAGCACCAGGAAAGAGTGGACAGTTCAGTCATTCTGGCCGGCCGTGAGGCCCATGGGGTGGGCTGTGTGCCCAGTGAACTGTGAGGGACATCCGTTGTGAAGTTCTTCGCCTTAAGATGAGGGAGCCCAATTAGGCAAGACCGGGATGAGCCAGGACCTCAGGATTCCCGTGTATTCATTTCGCTAACCATGCCTCCGATTAAACAAGTAACACCCACAGTTAATCCTTCATAAATTAGCATCATGGATGCCTGGGGGCCCTCAACCCACAAATAAAATGGTTGTCAACCTCGAGACACGAGAGCGTATATTACTTAAGGCAGAATTTTAAAGAGTTTTCATGCTTTTAATCTGTTTCACCGCTGCGATTCAATTTTGCTGATTTCCTTTGCATGTCTGATGCTGGTGACTGTGGTAAATAAAGATTTTGACAGTGACTTGGCAAACGGGGTGGGGAGAGGATGGTTCTGCCCCTTCCAGAGAAAGGGGGGAAAAGTCAATTTGGGTTTTAAACGGAGCCACCAAGTAACACTAATCTGTGTTCATTGTTAACCCCCCTTTCACAAGCCAGGAGGTCCTGGTTTTATGTATTTATTTGGGGGACAGAGTATCTTCCTGCCTCCTGAGTAAATACGGCCTGTTAAGTCTGAATTAGCTGTCAGCACAGAAGAATTAATGTCGGGGCACAGCCTTTCTAGTGGGGAAGAGAAGAAATAAACGAGACAGTTCTGAGCTGAGGCTTACTTGATGAATGAGGACCAAGAGGATGATTCATCTCCTTCCAGGAAAGTGGACACAGGCACTAAAGCAGTTTTGCGGAAGACGTGTCAGCAAATGTGATCATTTTGTAACCTGTCAGGAGGAGAGGGGGCTAGTCCTTCCGCGGGCCTCCAGGGACCGGGCTTGTGTGATGTGGCCGTCTCCATCCATGCATTTAGGTTTGGGGGAGCAGGGAGTGGGCCGGAAGGACCCCACTGCAACCACAGGATATGATCATCCTTCTCAGAAAGAAATTCATCCCAAAGCTGGAAAAGGCTAGAAACACCCCTTCTTCACCAAAATTCGAAGTAGGAAGGTGGGGTCTCTTTTAAAGGGGGCTTGCTTGTCACACACCCCCGGCCCCATGCAGTGTTCCTTGTCTAGACTAAAGCAGCAGCCCCTTTTCTGCTTGATGGGGACGACCCGGGAGTGGGTTTGCCCAGGGGTGACCAAGGACCAGACTAACAAGCAGCACTCTGTCCCTATTTCTGTCTGGTTCTGGGAGTGCAGACATGGGTGAGACTTTGGACATAGCTTCCTTTGAAAATCTCCACAGCGTTCTGATGTTCGACCTCTTTTTTCAGGATGAGGTAGGCACCATGGAGCTGTCTCCACTCAGGTTCTCCTTCCCAGTTCCCAGGTCCCAGGGCATCCAGGAGAGCGAGAGCTGGGGAGGTTAGAGCCCAAGAGGCGATGGCTCCCCAGCCAAAGCAAGGAGGCACTGGGTGCTTGGGATAACTTCTCATTTCCATCTTTTTTTTTTTTTTTTTTGCTATGGAGCAAATGTAACATTTCCTCCTGGCATCAGGCACAGACCGTGAGCCCCAGTGACAGATGACGGTTTCACAGCCTGAGCTGCAAGTTTGACACTTGCTTCTTAATCTTGTCCTTTTCTCCCCAAGTCTCTCTGACTTTTCCTCAGGTATTTTTGTACAGGTAAGTACCTTACTGACATATGTTTCCTGAGAGTCTTTTACTGTAACAGGAAACACTGCAAAAAAAGAAGAAGAAGAAGCAAGGCTTGTCTCACCTTTTAAATTAAAAAGAGAAGCTCACATGGGGCCCTTGATCACTTAAAGATGACTACGAAGCACTCCGAGCCTCGGAAGCCATTGGTTCCCCTTAGCTTTGCAGCAGGCGTTTCTCCGAGTGCAGCAGGATGATCTCTGTGGAGTCATTTGTGCATCATTAGTAGAACCAAAAGGCTGCTTGGTCACACCCACACGTACACACACACGCACACACACACACATGCATGTTGATATGCGCACACCTCCCTCCCGCATCTGCAAAGCCATCATTTGATTTGCCAACTTGATCTTGGACGATCTTTGCCAGCATGTCCTCTGCTAATCTGTGTGATTTCTTTTTCCTTTGCTCTCTCCTAGAATCATCCAGAGCCGCATCCTGCTTGTCATCCTGGGCATCATCCTGGTCATCACCATCCTGACGGCGATCACTTTTTCTGTCAGAAGACACTGATGTATCCGCTCTTCCTTGATAAACAGCCGCTGCGGGTCGTTCTGAGTAATTAAGACAAAATGGTCATATGAATCATTCTCGTGCGCTGACAGGCCCTGAGTGACCCTCCTCCCTCACCCCTGCTCAGCTGAAGTGCAAAGAGTGTACAAATATTTTCCATTCCTGTTTGCACGTGGGTTGGTTTCCTTTCCCAGGTTTGTCTTCACCCAGATTTATTTTCACAGGGACAGGCGAAGGTTTGTTTTCTTTTTGGTGATTTCATCTATGGACAGAAATAACCTTGGTGACATTCTTCCTGGTCCTGCGGACCATGTCAGGGGTCATGGTTTGGGAGAGGGCGAGATGAGTCAGCCATGGGGGTTGCTGAGGGGTGGGTCTTGTCATCAAATTGCTCTTCTGTGATGTCTGAGGAGAAAAATGCAGAGAAAAACAGGAGCCAGGGCCAGTGAATGGCCACAGCAATCCAACCTGCACCCGCCCGGGTGGAGTGAGTGTAGTCACCTGCTGAAGCGCTTTCGTTTTCAAGGTGGGTATTTAATGTCAGTGGTGCAGGAAATGGACTTAACACTTGCCCTGCTTCTCTAGACATAATTTTTTTTTTTAACCCAAGAATATTTTTGCCTGAGACTGCCCAATATCTGCTTTTCACAACTTGGATTACTGGTGACAAGAACAATTTCCTTGCCTTCCAAAAATTTCATATACCCCAGAGTTTGCTGGCAAAGTAAGCCCGGGTACCAATACCTCATTGTGACCTCCTCTCCCCGACCTGTGTAAGCATCTCTGTATCTTTTCGGTTGTAATATTTTCATGGCCAAAAGCAGCCCTCGTACATGCAAAAGGTCTGACAAGGTTCTCTCCACATCCATTCCAGTATGTAAAGAGAACATGAATATTTCAGGAAGAGCAAGAACATGACTCCGCCAGTGTGAAATTTCAAATATGACTATAAATATGGTAGAGTCCTGGAGGACAATCCACTAGAAATAAACTGTGGGAAATGCCCACTAACCTCCTTTGAAAGAACAAGGGATTGCCGCGTGTTACAAAAAGACAGCTTGCGTTTTTGACTAATAACTGTTAGCAAAGCCTTCCTGAAGTCACAGTGTATTCAAACCTCCAACGTGCTTTGTGATTTTCTTTGGTTTCTTTCTGTCCGAGGTAACCAGGTATTGCGTTCGAAATGAGTTCGTTTATGATCAGGCCTCAAGTTGCCCAAGCCGAGGTCATCTTCCCCTAGTTATAAAGCAAAATGTGTTTTTCTTAAGACTTCATAGGCACTTCCAGGATTCATACTATTTTTTGAATATAATTGGATGCTTTGAATCCTTGAATAGAAAACCTGTTCCCTTCATAAAAAATGCTAACCACCTGTGCCTATGGATTCAGCTCACCTGGGTACAACACTAGATTTTTTTTTTCTCCCCAACCCAGAAAGAGAACCACTATGATTTAGACAGGAAAGGCAGAGTGGCAAAATCCACCCGAGAAATCATATTTACCGAAACAGGCTGGGGCCTGCATGCGTGCAGATAAATCATTTAGTATTGTGTAAACAAAGCGGCAGCCTTTACTTTGCAGGGATGGTGTGGGATTTTGGCAAAGCCAAGTAGGATGTCGAAGGAGTAGGAAGCTGAGCTGATTTTCCTATCAGCTTCAGGGATCTCCCCCACCACAAGCATCCTTAATTCTGGTAACTGAACTCTGAATGTGCTTAACATAAGAAACCATTAAGAAGCTAGAAAACAACCAAGGTTGATCTGATCCTCCAAACTTGCAGATCACACCCATCACTAAGACCATGATGTCATGTAGAAGTAGAGGAACTGATGAGGAGGAAACCTCCTCACCTCTCAATGACTTTGTCTTCAGGTTCTATCTTTTTATCAGCTCTTGCCTGAGCTTTTGCCCCATTTCAGCCTGGGGAGTGGAAGAAGATAAACAGGTGACCCTTGACATATCAGCTCCATCCAGCCCACCCCAGAGGGCCACCAAGGCTGGGGTCAGGAGCGCTTTGTGAGGGAACTGACCCAAAGCTCCCCCACACATGCCAGACTCCTGCCTGGCCCTTCCCATGATGCAGGAGAAGCTCAAAGGAGCCCCCAGGGAGGTAAATTGTCCTCTCTCCTTCCCTGCTGTATCAGGAAAGGCAGAAAAGCCACAGTTCCAAACAGGTCAGAGATCTGGGAAAGCCTCTAGGAACGTAATATGTAGACGTCAAATGATTTTTGATAACAATTTCTCAAGTTAGGATCCTTTGTTAAAAAATGATGTTGGTGGAGGTGGGGTGGGGGGGCGGGATGAAGGTGAAAACACAGAAGGAAGAAACCTTTGCCATAAAAAATGCACACTGACCAGTTTTCCGGACAGAGCAAATAAAGCGATGCAACCCAGCTCCAGAGTCCAAAGCAATTTCATTAAGGTCTCTTAAGTTGTAAAGAGTTTTAAATGTTCCACGGTGCAGCCGAACGCCTGCAAGTGGCGTGGGCTTGACGTCAGCTGCGGGCCTGGGCTGGGAGGGCCATTTGCTATTCTGTTTAAGGCAGGCTGGATTGTCTTATTTTGGAACTAGCTTGGTGGGGGGTTTGCTTTGCTACTGCTTCTGAGCCCTGAGCTTCAAAGGCTGAAATTAATGGTGAACAAAATTGTGCAGCTCTGGCCGTCCCATGCGGGGCAAGCCCATTGAGGGTTATCATTAAGTAAAGAAATAAAGAGGGGAAAAGCCTGCCTGTTCCAAAAACCTCATCAGATAATGACCTCAGTGATTGGGTTTTCATTACCAAACAGCATCCTGAGATTATCTACCCTGTCAAAGAAGGGGGGCGGGGGGTGGAGAAAGAAAGACAAGCCACTATCTCTCTCCCTCTTCCTCCCTTTTCCTTTTCTTTCTTTTTCTTTTTCTTTCTTTCTTTCTTTCTTTTTTTTTTGCACATCTTTTCTTTAAAACTGTCAGATCATCTCAGTATTTCAAATCCGAGGAAAACAGCCTGCCTGCTGCTGTATTTGAAGTTGTAATGGTGTCAAAAAGTCACGACTGACTGACAGCCGTCAGTCCCAGAGGGGCTCATTAAATCATAAAAACTTGACAAGGAAATAATTGCGCATCGCCAGCAACTTGGCGCCTGTTTAGACGTTTTTATTTCCTTTCATTATTAGTCCCCACCATTACGTTCATTAACAAATTGCATTAAACAACTGTTAAGGGCTAATGATTTGTTTATCGCTTTTTTTTATTATTATTATTTAAACATTAGCTGTGTCATGTGGTACCCAGCAGCCTCTTGCCATCATCTGACTGAATATTTTTCCCACTCCGAGCTCTGGGTACTGTTGGAATATGAAATAGATTATTCATTACTCTCCTCTTTGCCACTGATTTGGTTTCATGTAGCGTCTTCCACAGAGAAAGATGAAAACTTGTCAAAAATAGGTTATATCTTATTCGAGGGGGCAACAATAGCAGCAGGTACAGGCACACTTTAATATTTAATTAAGGTGGATGTTAACCCCTTTAAATGACTTCAGCTGTAAGTTCCATTCAAATGCAGGAGAAAAAAATAATTGTTCTTAATTTGCAACCTGTTCAGCAGGCATTCTTCATGGAGTGAGCTAGAAATTTGCAGCGGAATTTTTAAATAATGAAATTTCCCATCATAAATATGTATAGCCATTTGTCTACGTAGTTGAGAATTAACTACAAACCATGATTTCCTCATCCCTTTGGTTGAATCGCCAGCCTCGTGCTGTGCCTGGCGCTTGGGCGTAGAAGTGGCTTTCCTGGGAGAAATGTGTCTTCAGAGCGAAGGGCTGATGGTGGCTTGTGGCTGGTGCTGGGGGTCCCCTGGCTCTCCTCCTCTTGCCTGACCTAGGGCAGAGTGTGCGGTTGGAGGACTGTGGTCTGGAGTAAGTGCAAGGCAGGACTTCTTAAAGGAAGTGTGTCCAGCCAGCTGCCACAGGCAGAGGACAAGATGGCCGGGTGTCTCTGTAAAGCAGTTGAGCTATTGCCAGTAGAGCCCTCCCCATAGACAAGAGAAACAATGCTTTGTTGGGAATGGCCATCCACCATCAGTGACTTGTCATTGATGAAACGATTGGCTTTTCCTTAGGCGATGAGATCCAAGGCAGAAGCTCCATCCCAACTCATCCACCCAAGCCAGAAGTCAAGGGCATTCCCCACCCACAACTCCTGGCTGCAATGGGTTACCCTGGTTGATTTAATGAGTTCGCATAACCATAGAAACTAACTCTCAGAGGCCTGGTTCATTGGTACTTCAGAGCTGGAAAGTTCTGGTCAGTATCAGAGAATGGCAGGTACCTTTCTTCCAGCCTATTTCAACTCCTACCAACCCATCTCCAATAGAGACAGACCCGTAGGCAAGGGAAGAGAGGTTCCTGGCTCAGCGGAGTATCTCAGCATCACCCACCCAAAGATGATTGTCCTAAAGTAACCATGGCATGATGGGGGTTAGCCCAGCAGGTGTGAGCCAGGTAAGTGAGGCCTAGCTTTAAGCCTCGTTGATCCCTATAGACAACAGACTATAAGGTGTAGAGACAACAGACTTGCCAGGGCCAGGGGATAAAGATCTTGAGCCTCTATTTCAGTCCACTTCAAATTAGCCACCTGAAACCTAGCCAATCTGAGTCCTGGCCAGAGTCTTTTGACCAGAAAACCCATTGAGTTATTTTTCTAGAAAGAAGAAAGGCTCTGAGGTGACCCAATCCAAGGCCTAGGGACATGGGTTGAAGATATTGCCTAAGAAGAGAAGCCAGTCCTCAACTCAACTGTAACTGTAACTGACGCTGTAACTCTCTACACTTAAACTGGACCCCAGGAAACATTCCTGTGACCTTCTGAGTTCAGGCCAATGGTGTCTGCCAGTGCCTGTCAGCTGGCAGTTAAGATGCCAGCCTTTTCTAAAATGGAACATGTGGTTTTATGGACAGCTCCAAAACGTGCTTAAAGCAGAGATCTATGCCCAAAAGGGAGGCACTGAAGAATAACGGGAGTAGCCAGACCCAGGAAGGAGAAGAACGCTTGTGATCAGAGCCAAGCCTGAATACGGGGCTCTGAAATGGATGACTGAGTCAGAATCAATGCCCTCTCCTGTAGTGGGGAGGGGATGACACAAGAAGTACTGAAGGAGACAGTTAGGATTTAGGATTAGGATAAATCTCTGTTAGGATTTCAGGACAGTCACAGGGTGAATGTTCCAGAGACAGCTTAACAGACATGTAGGGAAAAACCAAGATGGCGGGACACACCAAAATCGCAGGACAAACCAAGATAAATAGATGGAGAATAACTGAGATGAGGAGTAGATGGTGCGAAGGTTGAGAGTAAATTCCCTTCAGGGGCTCCTTCCAGGGGCTAGTCAAGCGAGAGAGGCAAAAGGCCCCACTAGGTACCACTCCGGGCCCATCATTGCCCTTTTCCAGGAGGGTCCAAAGAAGCAGAATCATGGGACGCACCTCTCCTGGGCCATGGCCCGAATCAGACACCACCCCTATCGCTGTGCCTCGCTGGGCTCCAGGCCGCTGTGGGAAAAGTGCCTTCCCATCCTGATGCGCCTCGTTATTCAAGCTATGTAAGAACGGAGGCATCACAGACAGGGAAATGCCACGAAGCAGAGCTCTGGACTCCGATTCTGTGAAGTCGAGCACCCTCCTCCCTTCATCCAAACAAGGCCCTTTGGCGTGAATAATAGCTCGCTGGCCCCGCAGCCCATATTGATCGCTGCCCACGCAGCTGGCCGAGCGCTGCCTGGACTTTTCCTGGGGGCAACACGGACCGCTCAGCGCAGCCCACCTCCTCCCCCTAACCCCACAGGTGTGTTCAGGAGGGGGTGGGGGGGTGTTCTTTTCCTGCTCAGTGCTGCTTTGTTGCCTCAACTTTTTTGTTTTTAACTTATTTTGCCAGGAAGAATAGATGAGTTGGAGAGAAATGTTTTCTCCATGACGATGCCCCATAGAGTTGAGAGTGACTATATCCTCCGGCTCCGATTCCTCTCCAGAAGGTTCTGCCAAAGACCCAGGCCACGAGGGCGCCCCAGCTGACATTTTGGAGGCCTGCTTGCTCCACACCAGCATTGAGCTAAGCCTGGGTGTGCTGCTCAGCATTTCCCTGTGAACGTGCCCTGCCTTGCAGGCTCGGGAGGGAGAAGAGCGGCAGCTGTGGCTGCATTCTCGCCTCCCAGTGTGGTGGGCTCTTGTGAAGGTGGGTGGAGAGCCGTCAGCGACGGTTGGTAGACACACAGGATGACACTGTACCCCAAGCCTCTGACCACGCTCGCCTCTCCTTGGCGTCTCTCCTGGGCACGGGAAGTGGCCAAGGCCTTGGCCTCTGAGACATGAGCTGTCCATCCAGCCCCTGTAAGGTCACACCCCACACCTGGTAGATCTGACGTGAAACCCCGCCTTTCACAATTCATTCCTTTGGCTTCTGACCTTGAAGCCTGTGAAAACACAGCTTTGCTTTCAGTCCACTCAGACTCTGAGCCATGTGGGTGAATTATCTGGCACATTTCTGAGGAAGATTTTTGGGTTCGAGGGAGGGGAGATCCACCATGTGAGAGGAGACAGTGGTCTTTGGGGAGGGGCTAGGAGTTCCTGGAACCAGCTCCCCAGTGGTTTTTCCTGTCTTTTGGGTCAGTGAGCAGATTCCAGGCACCACAGCCTTGCCAAGAGGCCCTCACACGTTGACCAGGGCCCAGGCTGTGTAGGCGATGCAGGAGGTCTGAGAATTCCTGGGCTCCACGAAAAGAGGTGACTGGTTAAGGCTCCTCTGTGTGTGACAGTGATGCCACTGAGAAGCGAGAGTCTGCAGATGGGGTGGCCTTAGAGAGTAGACCCTGGGCTCCAGGAAATGGCTCCCGTCCGTGAATTCCTCCAGCCTCCTCACACCCCAGCCTTGCTGAGGCCAAAGGAAGTATAGGTTCCTTTTGACACTTGCCCAATTCAGGGGTCCCCCCCAACAGAGACACTGTCAGCATGAGAGCATCGCTTTTAATTTCTATCTCCTCTTCCTCATCCAAGCCCATCCCCTCCCAAACTGACCCCTCCCTAAGAAATCACAATGCTTGGAAAGCCAGACAGCTCCAATGAACTCATTATTAACTCAACAATAATCAAACCTTCCCCTATTAGTAGCCTGAGAGGTGTGATCAGATTTATTAATTCAGGTATTCAATAAATGTTTAATGAGCATCTATATTCCAGGCCCCAAAGTTGCCTGGTAAGGAAGATAGATAAGAAAAGATTGTCCCACAGCCCTGGGGCTGCAGGTCAGAAGCATTTTTCATTCCCAGTGTCCTGAACTGTTGGGTTTCAGGCAAGTCACTCGCAGGTTCCAGAAACCAGCTTGGGGTGTCCCTGCTTTTGCTGCCCCGGGAGATTCATATCCCATCTCCCTGAATTGCTTGGCAAAGCCCACTCCAAACGTTGCTGCTGGGTGTTCATTCCTCCTTGTGGTTTCCATGACTACATTGGCAGAATTACCCCACTAGCACGAGAGCAGAGCTGGGCAAGCTGGCCTTGCCTGTAAGTGGCTAATTCCTCTTCAGCACCTGCCCCAGCTCAAGGACCAGCCCCGGAGACGTGGGGAGCAGGAATGAGGACCCTTTCAACTGAGACTGACTTGGAGAACTTTTTTTCCCTGCTTATTAAATGATCAAGGTTTGACTTGGCAGGCAATCGGAAACCCAAAATATCATAAAAGGGAAGAAAGTTGCCGCGTGGCTAAGAGGTTCACCACGGGAGTGTGGCTGGGCTCCGCAGCCAGGTGAGTCACTGAGCAAATGGAGCAGGGCCGCTGTCTTTCAAAGGCTTCTCTCTCCTTCTTCTCCTCTATCTCCCTCC